AAAAAAAAATAAATTGAGAAAAATAAAAACAGTATGTTTATGAAGGAGATTTAAATGATTTAAAATGTCTCTGATTTATGTTTACGTTTATAACGCAGATGGACATTGCTCCTACCCTAATGATACACTCGCACCCTCAGAGCTGACCCGCTCGAACTATCAGCAAAGTGTTCAAGAAATGCGTCAAATCTGGCATAGGATGAAATGTGGCAATGAGACACCTACATCTATTGGCAAAGACTGTTGTATCTCTTGGTGTGAGCAGTTGACTTCTTTTTTCAGTCAGGCGTCTTCTTGGAAAGATCACTGTTTTAAAATGTGGGGATGCAGAAAAAATGAAAAAACTCGCATGAAGTTTTCTATGATATTGACAAATACAACCGACTCGTCGTATTTGGGCAGAATCCAAGTGAAACAGTGCTGGAAACTGGAGTTTCCTGCCATCAAGCTAACACCATCAAGCGAGGTAGGTGTATTTGATTTTCTTTTAACATTTTTAATGCCTATTGTTGTTGGTCCTCTAATTCCACCCTTTAGAGAATGTCAAACCTATCCCCCTCCTGACCCCGGACCGCGTAGTTATCGATATAAGTTCGACTTTCACGCAGATCACGCAAAGCTCGAAATGTAATCGCGAGCACTTTCTTTCTTAAGTTATCAGTATTTCCTGTGTTATTTATATTCTTGTACTCAGTTGTTCCGTATGTCTTCGTAACACTTTACTAAGAAACCACTAGCAATAGCTTGTAAATAGAAGAGTTCGATCGAGTCATCATAAAATTAAACTCCTCTTAAGTTTACTGCTGGTGCCTTGGTTAATGAAAGCTCAATTTTCCTCAGATTGTGTAACCCATGAATTTATTGATTCCTTTAAGAGCTAGGCTACTGAAAGTTTTGTCTAAACAAACCACTAACTCAGTCCCCAGGAAGGAAACTTGTTGACACCATTCTAAAAGAAGTGACCAGCTCTTTTGGAAATAAAGTAACTCAAGAAAAAATGGAACGCACTTTCCTCACTGTCACTGATTTGGAGGAGTTCATTGGGAATTATGCTCAAAATCGCCTTAATCAAACCGTACCTAAGATTGAGATCCGTGGTAAACATGCAGGTGAGTAGATCTTAAAAGCTGATTTGGAAGTTTTCTTGATTTCTAATTCGGAGTTCAGGATGAATACATGCATCATTCGTGGCAGATTTTCGAAACATTTGCAAACACTACTACTTATTCGACGTTTTGGGTGTAAACTTTGTCTGTAGCAACCCTTAATCGAATCATTTTGCGACACATGAACTGTCTTGGACCTCTTTTAAGGCAGTTTGTAACAGGAAATTCCTATCGCTCGTCAGTTATCTGCGATTCCAACAACTCTTTCTATTGAATATGTTCTTTAATATCGTCATAGTTATGAATAACTCATAAAAGAGGGGAAAAATGGATAAAATGAATAAATAAATTATGGAAATAAAAATAAGAAACCATTTGAATTCAGTGCAGTGATATGTTTTTTTAATTTAAAAATGGTGACCAGCACTTTATCTGATAATTAAACAGAAAACACTCCTTTGACTGATGATCATTGCAAACTACTTGCAGTTAATATATTACTAAGTGATGGATTCCAGCATTTTAGTCTTAAAACTTTTGAGGACGATGACTTGAGACTGCTACGAAAGCATCTGCATTTATTTCGCCCCAAACTTAATATAAGTCGCGGTTTTGAATTTAGATATTTTGGTCAGGAAGATTTTCCACAAAAATGAGACTGGAGTACAATTTGAGGATGATAAAGGAAAAAACTATGTCAGCCTCCCAGTTGCAGGCTTGGATAAAGGTTGGAGAGCTATATCTTTTAATTTTTTTTTTCTTTTTTTAACATAGAAAATAATATATTTTGGTCGCATTATTCAAATTATTCTAGCGATTATCACTGTTATTGGTTAAAGGGGAACTGGGTTTCAAGTTATAACGAACATTTAAACCGAATGGCTGATATCTTAATCCAGTTGCTTTCGTTTTTTTTTACCTGTTTATGTGTCCTTTGGTCGAAATATATCAATCTTATTACAAAGTGTGGCATGCCAATGAAACACACCGGTAAACTTGCAGGGTGATAACTTGTCCTTTTTTCGCAATATTCTCGTAGCATTAAAATTGTTCCCATTATTACATCTTAGGATCAGTTGTACTTTGTGTCATTTACAAAGATCTCCATGAAGTATTTCAAACAGGCCAGACTGACTCTGCTTCTGTTAATAAAACCAGGTTTGCTAAAACTTAGTATTACATTTAGTATCTTTCAT